AAAATATTAGAACAGATCAGTTAACAATCAGCATATTAATTAGATGCATATGGCAAGATTCATTTTAAAAGCTAGCAATTTGGTACAAAATAAAATGAACTATTCTATTTCAGCTATTTTTTAGACTTCATGAATTCACTTTCGTAAAATTTGAACATGTTCAAGTAACAGTAAAGCACAGATTCAGAATTCAGGACTGTTTGAAAAATCTAAGCATATAAAAGGGTAATCAAATGGCTAGAAAAAATTCTGAGATAAAAATACGACATCACTCGTTACTGTTGAATTAAAATTTCTCAGCAATTGTAATACGAATGGATATTTTGGGTTTTGTGATGATTAAACGCCTGAATCAACATTATGTGGCTGTTTCCATTGAATCAAATCATTCATATCCGTGATTGAATCTGCATTCTGTTTACATATCTCTGAGGAGGCAAAAATAAAAAAATAAACAAATGCTAGTGCATTATTTTACGTGTCACATTTTCACAATTTAAAGTTTTCCGGTCAGTCTTAGAAAAAGTACGAATTAATAAAAATTAATCAATATTTGATAAATAAATTCAAAATTTTTAAATAAGAAAAAATTACCTAATATAATGACACATTCTGACTTTTCACTGAAAATCATGCAAATTTTTACTCTTACTCTTGAAGCTGGCAATTAATTAGCATGCATATGAAGCTGAGAATAACGAAATGTACTTGGTTGTTATTTAACATTTTTCATTGATAGCAGGTGAGCTTTTGCAGGTGATATTGATGCTACTGAAAGATCTATGCGAATTGAATCTTAAAATAGCAAAGAAAATACTTTTGTTGTACAAAAATAATGTAGGATATTGTTATTCTTATGCGAATTTTCTGAGTGAGCAAAATAATCAGTCTGTCATTTCAACGTTTACATAAATTTAATTTGTTTTAATCTATGCGGAAATTTAATTTGATCAGTACTGGAATCTGCTGATTTAGAGAACATATGATGTTTACAGAGTAATCATCATTTCTGTTCGTATAGATATTAAATGACATTTTTAGTGCTGACTGGTCACTCTTTGGAGATTCCAAAATTTTTACCCAAAAAAAAGAAAGTAAATATCAGTGTTTGAATATTTCTTATATTTTTAATTTTTTTGGACTATTTCATGTTAAAAAATGGTATCAGAACACACAAATTATACAACATCTAAAGTTTTTGCATACATGAAATGACCATTTTAATTTTTTCCTATTTCACATTATTAAAAAAGCAAAAATTTATTTTTCAAATATAACTGTAATACAATTCATTTCTATTTTACTTTTTGATTTTTTTGAATCGCAAAACTGTAAGATTTTTTGAAGAATTATTAGTTATCAAAAACCTTTCATATCTTTTACATTTTAAAACAATAAATAAAAACATCCAGTGATTTACTATGTTTCATTTAAAAACAAAAATAATTTTATGGATTGCATTATAATTAATACTTAAAAAATGAATTTTTGCTTTTTCTGATAAGAGTTTGATTAAAAAAAATAGAAAGTTATATTAAAAATTCCATTTCTAATTATCAAATGTTTCAATGACGCATGCAATCATTTAATAATTTATGTCAAATCTAAATTCAAGCAAATTGAAACTTAACTGTTACTAAAAATATATGTCTACAAAAGAGGACACGCAAGTTTCTTCTTGAGCACTGTATTTCAATTTTTTCTTAAAGAATATGTGAGTCTTTCCAAATTTATATATTTTGAAAAACAATACTATCAAATTTTTTACAAATAAAATTAGCCTTAATGTATTACTTTCAATCTCTATTTAAAAGTATATTTCTTAAATTAATGATATAATTTTTACGAAATTACCGTATTTATTGATGTAAATGTCATTCTAATGTTGTGGTCTTATTATAATTTGCATGTTTGTTACTCATTCAATCACTGGTTTATTCATCTATTCATACATCTTCTTATATTTCCAATTGTCAAATATTGTGATGTATTTCTACAGTCAGAAATTTGCTTCAATACAGTAGTCAATTCAATTTTTCTATTCCAATTGCTAATTATTTTGTGTACGAATATTTTCAAACTATAATATTGATTGAACCAAGATGATTTTAAAAAATCAAAGCTGAAAGTTTTTAAAATAAAAAATAATTTTCGTTTAAGTTTGTTTATCAGCCAATTTTTAATCAAAGTAAAACGATAAGACAGTCAAGATAAAAATTTTTCTGCTTTAACCATGCTAGAATACTTTTCAGATTAAATATTTTTAAAGCATAATTAACTATCAAATAAAACAAGTCTGTTCGTTCTTAAACTGCATAACACTAAATTTGAAAAAATTCACACTCTGTCATATTTAAAAAAATTTAACAGTAATTTAGATAAAACTTGCTGTTTAACACAATTTTCGGCATTTGTAACAAATTTAATTTTATGCAAAATGTTTACTGATTTTTTTATTTAAAGTTAATGTGTTATTTATATATTTTTTTCATAAGTAAATTTTTAAAATTTATAAATAAAAAGGAATTGAATTAATTGTCAACGAAAATGAAAGATGGCGCAAAAATAATTTTGTAAAAAGCTTATTTAAAATTAGCTAAAAGTTACCGAACTGGCTCTAATAACTAAATACTTCAGATTTTTTGCATATTTAATTATTGGGAATAATTATTAAGTGGGGTACATCTGTTGTACGATGTTGGCAAAATTATGTAAGCAAAATCATATATATAACCCTATATGAATTGGGTCATAGCATTTCTTTCCTTTCATGTTGACCTGATTTTACATTGATGGAATGATATTTAAATGGAATCTGAAGTTGCAAAGATTGATTACTTGTAGAAAATTATAATTAAATCTGCAAAGGTTATGATAATCAAATATATGTCAATTATAATTTCCTTAGTGATTATCATTAACACATCGATACTAAGCAGAAGGAATTATGAGAATACTAGAAGTAACTTAAGCGATTTATTAATTTTTTAATTATGTGATAATTGCATTAGATAAAACTTTTGATTTTCATGCAAAACAGTTATATTATGTTTATGCATAAAAATTAACTAATAAAAAATTTGTATGTAATGGTCGCATTTTTTACGATTAATTTGACAAAACAATATAGCAATTATTTTTATTAAGTAGCAAGAATAAATGACCAAATTTTGCTAAAAAAAGCAATAATATTTTTCTTAGATTAATTTTTAACTTTACATTTACTAAACAGAAAATAATGAACATTCAAATCAAAAAAGCAACATTCAAATCTGCATTATACAAGAACTTATTTGGAAAATTCAACATTGTACATTTTTATAAGAAATAATCAAAAGAAGTAAGTTAAAAAAGCCCTAAGGATACGAATGAATTAATTTGAGAAATGTAATTTCAAATGTGTTGATTTATTGTTTTACTATCAGAAAATGAGTAAATTTGACCTTAGAAACTGGCAGGAGCAATAAAATGAAGGAATACTTTTGCAGTAAACTAAGAAAGTAACTGCATAAAGTGCAAAGGTAATCTCAAGTGAAAAGGTCATTTATTCATAAAAACTTTTGTTTCTCGAAAGATTTTTATCAAAAAGATTAAATTCGTAATTGCAAATGACTGAAGGAGACAATACTTCCTTATTTGTAACGAGATTTTACATAAAATCATATTATACTGTACAACAAATTATATGAATTTTTATCCTCACTGATATCAATTGATAAGGATTGAAGGAGGATATCAGTCTAATCAGTAATTTGTGTCGCTATCGGATCGGTAAATTTCCCCTCAAAATGTCATAAATCATTGTCGGTATACCATTATGGTTTGTAATGTTGAAAGTAAGGTAATCCGTGTTTTATATACTTGTAATCAAATAATCATGTAATTAAGGAATTATTGACAATTTGATGAAATTGATCATTTCCGTAGCTAATCATTTTTATTTCATTAATGTGCAGTTTTAATGCAGAAATTATAGCTAAATTAATACATAAAACTTCAGCAATAATATTTGTCGAAAATTCATAACTTCAAAAGCTTTAATTTTATAAAATAAATTTTGAATTCGGAAAAACTTAAGTGATGACTACATTTGCCTATACAAATAGATTTAATAAAGGTTTTACAACTGCTATCAAAATTATCACATCAGTTTAATGAGGAAATGGCATGTGCTGAACGTCAACGCATATCAGATAGAATGCCATCGATATGCTCATTTATGTGATGTGATTCATTCATCCGTAAACAATTATTATTGATACTTTAAATAATGCTGCGCAGGTTGATATCTTGTTATACTAATTAAAATATAAGCAAAAACCTAAAAGAGAAATTCTACTTGGCAAGCTAAAAAAGTTCATGACAATGTATTTCAAAAAATTCACTCACAATGCATTTTAAAAAAATGAATTTTTGACAGGACGAGAAGAAAATCTATAATAATAGTTATTATTATTATTATTATTATTTAAAAACCAAGCTCAGTGATTATAGTGCGCATTTATTCTCTGCACTGATTGTGTTTCAATTATAACTTTATCCTTATGCTTGCATCATTTTAAGTTTGAAATTTCTTATGGCTTTTGCTGAATTATTTAATAACATCAAAATATCAAAGAGAATTTAAGAATTTTTTGACCAGGCAGTAGTAATAATATCTAATTTTTTTTACTTTGGCAAGAGTACAGAATAATCTCTCGAATATATATTATAAAAGAGTAATTTGTAATATTTTATGATCACTCTAAACATCACACTACTTTTCCTTTTGTTCAAGACAGAACTTGAACTTGATCTCAATACACAATCTCAAATTTTACAACGCTTTATAGAATGAAATTTTAGAAATTTGTACATTCAATTATCCAAGTAAATTCGAATAATTTTAATGAAAAATGTAATATGTACTGCCTCATCAAAAATGACATTGCCCTCCAGTGACTTCATCAATCACTATCATCCAGATAAAATTCCATTTTAACCAGGTCAAATGTGAGTGATCAATCAAGATCCTCACTAAGCAACCCACATTTGGCCTTAAAAACAAAAGAAACGAGTTACTGACGTAAGTGATAAATCACTTAATGATTAAAGTAATCTGGAAAATAATCAAATCGGAGATGTGACATTTTATCGCGGTTTCATCGACCAAACCAATTGTAATAAATTACGGTTTAACATAGCAATGTACGATTAAATTATAATAAATTTTCGATTTATTACTTTTTGAAACGCTTTCCTTTCTCATTCGACAAAGTTTCTTCAAAGCTAATGTTTGTGTGTTTGTCACTTTAAGCAACAACAGCTTTTATAAAATTATATTATTTATTATAACAAACGACAGTGATCAAAAACGACGCTTTCCAACTGAACAGATAAATAAAAACATATCAATCAGTTAAAAGTGATTACAACACATAAAAGTCTTGATCGTTACATAACAAGTAAAAGTAATTAGTAGAAAATACGTAACCATTAAGTTAATTAACTCAATATGCTGAGAACAATAATGTGGAGTTGACGCAGAAACAGTACGCTTATCGCTCAATTCGACGCATTTAAAGCTGAAATAAATGCAAAGAGTTTCTGAAAAAATGAGGATAAATGATAACAATCTTCTAGGTAATGATATGATGTTCTTAATGAAAAATGAAGGAAAATCAGTTACCTCTAAATGATTAAAAAATTTTTACTCATTTAGAGGTAACTGATTATATTCCAAACAAAAAAAGCAATGCAGTGAATTTACCACATTTAAAGTTAAGAAAAAAATCTCATCAAATCAAAAATTGTTGCACGATTATCTGAAGAAAGAAGTGGTAACAAATTACCTTTGCATTTTCTACTTCGTAGTTCACATTTCCTGGTATTTCATGAAGATCAACATAACCATTTGCTATGACTATTTTGTCTATTTCTTTTACCTATGGAAAAAAGTTGATTTATTAACAAAAACTGAGCCAACAAAATTTATCTACTTATTAATAAAATCAAGAAATGATCAAAAAATTTTATGCTATCGATGAAAAAATATTATCTCTTAGTGTCTTCTTAATACCTTCAAATAATGTAAAACAAAGTATGACAAATAATTCCAATACTTTAGCCTGAAAATATATTCTTGATCCTCCTTTCCACATTTCTGTTCGAAGCGTTTGTCCTGGCAACACAGGGCTAGTGAAACGAGCCTACGACAACGTGATTTATTTTTGAGAATAAAAAGTTATTTCCAAAGAAGACATAAATTAGAATAAAGCTTAGAAGTCTACTTAACCAAAATACAGTCTTATAGTACCTTTATAGATTTGAAATATTCACAACAGTCACCCGCAAATGTTTTCAAAATGTGTCGCGCGCAGAATCCTAGCGTACAAAGTCCATGCAAAATTGGCTTTTGAAAACCGAAGCTAGCAGCAAATTTAGGGTCAATGTGAAGAGGATTGTTGTCCCATCCAGCAAGCCGATATAAAGCTGCCTGAGAAAGTTGCAAATTTAACATTATTATGTTAATATATAAAATAAAATAAACTATCACTCATTTAGTACCTTAATTTTTAAACTTATTTTGATTTTACAAGATTCACAGTATCAACCGTTATAAATATTGTAGAAAAAGGAAAACAAATGCATGAGAAATTTTATACTTTTATCATCATCAAACAAGTAAAGGAATGACAAATTTGCTAGAGTCGTAGTAATTTTCAATAAAATAATAACAATCATCCTGACAAGATAAGTACTGTACACAACCTGAGACACATCCGTTGTTTGTTCAATAACAAAGTCAGGATCACGCTGTGGTGTCGGTTGACAAGGTATCTCACATTCCGATGTTTTTGGGCCATTAAATCCACCTGCACCAAGTTGGAACAAGGTGATCTGTTGCTTTGCAACTTTAATATTTGCTTCGTCGTCATATGTCAAGACTTAAAGAAATTTTTGCTATCAATGTACAATTTCCAATTAGCAAAAAGTTTTTAAATCCATTCAATTAACTCAATCAGGTAAAAAACATGTTGTGAAAAGTTCGAAGTCCAATAGAAATTTTTTCATTTCACAAAATTTTTCTTTGCAAAAACAGCTTACAAACAGATAAAAAACTTACCTTCTGCAATAATAAGTGCACCTTTGCCTTTATCAATTATTGCTGGAATACTTACTTCCGAACGTAATTTACCTTCCGTAGGCAATCGACCGTACACTTCCAGGTACTGTTCACCATGTAATATCTTTTTGAGATCAAATGCGACACCTTAATTGAAAAATATGTTGATTCAAAATTTATACACAAATATCTGGGATATTTTTTCAAACTGTCACATCATTATTCATTTGTTCAACTTGAAAGTAACTTGAATAGCACTTCAAAGAGAACAACCATAATTATCAGTAATTTCAACAAATATGGCATAATTTAATAAAATGAGAGCATTTTACCTGGCCAGTTTTCAATTTCTGTTAAAGTTGCTTTCAATGCAGGGCAAACGACAAATGTCGGCAACGTTGCAAATTCATCATGTTTTTCATATAAATATTGCAATTGATCTTCAGCACTTGCTCCAACTAAACGTCAAAAATGTTTCTAAATTGCAAATTAAAAAAAAACAAAAACAATTTGTACAATTTTACGAGCTCGATATGTGTCTCCATGATCTGCACAACTAGCTTATGATGCTTTTTAGAAAAATAAAAAGTTAGTTAAATAAAACTGAACTATTAATAACCATTGTTTTGAATACAACATGTAGTTAATTACCTTTGTCAATTCCTTATGCAAATAATGAAGTAGTTCTAAAAACGAAGAGAACATAAAGAATTAAACAATTTGAAACTTAATGCAAATTAAAATAAATTTGAATAGATAATGAGAAAATCGCGAAGGCACAACCTGCTAAAGCGTACAAGATAACATCGCGAGATGTAAATGAGAATATTTCTGAAGCAATGGGTCCATGAGCTCGAGCTTTCTCTGCATCCATGGCCATCAGTTATGTATATAAAACACACATAACTTTTGCTATATTAATGAAACTATACACATTACAGCCCTGTTTTAAATTGAAAGTAAATTTCAACTTTACCCTAACTTTTGTAATGTAACTGAAAATGGCGGCAACATATTTCATTCTGCACACGATAAAATATCATAAAAATCTCACTAAAGCGCAAAAGTATGCAACGATATGCAGTTCTTAAATGGTTGTAAATTAGACGCTTGAAGTGAATAAAAATGATCTGTAAATGAGAAAAAAGTATTTAATAATATTTATTTCTATGGCAGAAATGTATCAAAATTATAGAGCTGAATAACATATGTATTTAAGCAACGTGTTATGAATTCCAGTTTATTTGTGATACAAATATCTCTTTCATCTTTATTTGATTAAAAAAGCTAAAGATAAATAGAGAGAAAAAAAATGACATTACGAGCGGAAAACGCAAGAGTTATAGTTAAATAATGTTGTCAGATATACAATCTAATGAAAACTACTTCGTACACAGAAAATTGCGGAAAACGAAATTGCCCGCCAATAGCAATCGATTTCAGTGATAAACTTACAGTTCAAAGATTATTTGTGCTGATAAGATAGTGTAATTTTCAGCAAAAATAGTTTTACGTATTAATTGCAATCAAATAAGTAATAATATTAGTCAAAAATTTTTTTATCATTACTTTCATCACTAACAAATTAATCGTATAAAATGGTAAGTCAAATTTCATTTACTGTTAGAACTTCTTCGATGACTTACTTTTTGTTTGCCTAGTAAGAAACAAAAGAGAAAATTATGACATTTCATTAAAATTTTGCTACTATGACAAATTTTTGGTTTCTACGTTATACGGTTGACTGAGTATCAATTCAAATGTTAGTGATATGACGAGCTGATGACACCATAATTTCTACTACCAATCAAATATTCAGTAAATGAATATGGATTTACACAAAAACAAAAATTGCATCTTGAGTTTATTATTTTTTAAAATATCTAGTTAATATCGTTGCTATCTGTTCATTTTATTTCTAAATTTGATAGACTTAATCAGTCGATAGACTTAATCATACCCAAATTTAAATGCAGTCAAATGTATATCATACAATATTTATAATCAGTAATCAAGAGGATGTAATGACGGAAGTGATCGAATTTGAAATATGTCATCAGAGATTGATTTTATTTGATCCACATCTGCAGTTTGTGTTACAATATTAGACATTTGAGCTTCAGCATGTTGACAAGCCTAAAATCAAAAACTGATAATTTGTTCTGATTGAAGGATGGCAAAATATGTATGATATGCAGAATCAGATCATTCCAAAAATCAGATCTACAAATGATCTTACTCTTCCATACATTGCATTTTATCTACTCCACATTTGTACACAACCATGTTAGATAATTAAATCACTAGTTTTTTCAATCATCTATACAAAATTCAGAATATTCATTTAAATTAATACATGAATATCAGAGTTTTTATTTGAATTCATACATAAAACGATAAAAAAATTATTTTATGTCACACCACGGCGCAAATGCTGTAAATATTTGTACCATGAAAACCCACTTTTCTGATTTTTATTCACAATGCAAGTCAACCTTTAAAGTGTATAATTGAGCTAGTTTCCGTTCATAATCAAATGACTCTTGATTGGCAGCACGAGTGCATCTTGACAGCACTGCTGCTACGCTATAAATATCGATCGTTGCATCAGCCAATCGTGTCATTTCCCATTGTCTTTCTAGCATCAAAATTTTTTTAATAAAAAGTATTGATTGATTGCAATTATAAATTAAAAATTTTTAATGCTTAATTAATTTACCTATAATCTAAAAAATCTCATCAATTTCAACCCACAATCAGTATAATAGTAAAGTGAAAATTATATGCATACAAAAGTTAATATTTACGCGGGCAAAAAGATACTTTGTATTTAAAATGCTAGCGAAGTGCATTAAAGATAAATAAAAACATTAAAATTTCAAAAAAATACAAAGTAACATTACTTTTGCAAATTTTGCTCACCAATTATTCCTTGTTTATGCTTCCACAGAAGTAATCGTGAAATGCTCCCAAATTTTTGCACCGTTTTCTTTAAAGTGGCTACAGAATCATTCAGACTTGAATGACAAGGGAAGTCAAATTTATTTCTACAATAATCACTGACATAATATTTATAAAAATAGAACTAGTCAACTTCTTCAGAATATTAAACAGTAAAATAATTTGTTGACCAAATTTCTTCCATCAAATTTAATTGAGCGCTGCTATTACGGCTGAGATACTGAAGGTAATTTGCCAGAAAATGAAACGCAGAACTTTAGGACAATAAAAGTTTTGTCCATCATTTGAAGTTAAGAAAGTTTGCAACTTTTTTTTTCCATTTTATTCTTTTATACATAAACTTTGTTAACTGCCTGAATATGCGGACTATGTACTTGAACATTCATTACAGCCTCGCTGTTCTTTATGAGTAATTGATGGGGCTAGATAGAAGCACACTACAACTATTACAAGAAAATATGGAGGCAAAAAAATTCAAAAAGGTTAAAGCATGAGGATTATAACTTCAGAATCTCAATAAGAACAAACCTCGAAAACAAAGATTCAATAATGGATCCAAAATTCTTCATTTTATATTGCAGATGCTTACCGGCATACTGAAAAATCGAATGAGTATTCTAGCACGATCCCCAATTTATTTCATCATATTTATTACAATTTTTTAAACAGCCATATAAATGATATATATGGGCCAATAAATCATTGCAATCACCTGTAATCCAGTTAATGCAATGAATATGCGCAAAACATCATTAGCCCCTTCGAAAATGCGAAAAATTCTTAAATCACGCATAATTCTTTCTAAACCACATTCTTTCATGTAACCCATGCCTCCATGAAGCTGAATAGCACGATCACAGACTACCCAAGCATTTTCCTAAATTTCCAAGCTGTATTATCTGACAGTGAACTATCTGAAACAGATTAAGATTGTATTTTTTATTGGAATCAACAGAATAAAATTAAGTAAATGACATACAGACGCCAAGATTTTTCCCACAGCTGCTTCCAAATAATAATCTTCCACATTTTCATCTATTGCACTTGATAACATATACAGTAAACTCTAAATAGATTTTCAGATACTTCATTTAAGAAATAAAGAAATTAAAAATATTTTCATCTCTTCATGATATAACAAAAGAAAAGATGCACTAATACCTCTGAAGCGTAATGTCGAAGAACCATGTCAACTAACTGTTCTTGAACATTTCCAAATTCTTTCAATTTTTTACCAAACTGTACTCTGTCTGATACATGCTGTATCTAAAGTTATGTTTTAAAATTAAGGAATTTTTTCTTGAACAGTATTTAAAATATTTATTCCGCCTAAAACGAACTGTTTTTTCTATGCAAAACTTCATGGAGCCAATACATGCTGCAAGTAAACCAACACGACCATTGTTTAAAATTTTCATCGCTATTTTGAAACCTTCTCCTTCAGCTGAAAGTATAATAGTATTATACAGCAGAACATTGATTTTTAGCTAATAATATGAGTATTGATAACATTATTGCTTAAGGAAGGAATACAACCAATTAAAAATTAACAAATCAATTTTTCAAAAGGTTTCTCAAGAAGTGAATATCTCTGTTGATTCCAATAAACGTTTAAAGAACATCGAAACAAACCCCCCAATAGATTTTGCACAGGAACTTCAGTATTATCGAAATGCACTTCAGAAGTTTTTGAACCCCTTAAACCCATTTTTTTATCGGGTGAACCGATAGTAATACCGCCGTATTTGCGTTCGACGATGAAAGCCGAAACCTTGTTTTGAAATGTTCCATCATTATTTTTGACTGATGTCTAAAGCTATATTTTCATTTTTAAATGCCATTCAATAAATCACTTCAAAGTTCCTTTTCTTCAAGCAGTTACCAATATAAATGATACTTTTCATTACTAATGATTTAATATTCGGAATATTTTCAGTAATAACGACAAGAAAAACATGATTATTTGATCTAAATATTCAAAAATTACCTTAGCAAAAACAGTAAATACATCAGCAAAAAAACCATTGCTGATCCACAGTTTGCTACCATTCAAAATATAATGCTTCCCATCAGTACTTTTCACTGCCTGCATTTGTAAAGACTGCAAAAATTCCATGTAATCAATTGATGATAACAAACTGAATTTAAACAGTTTACAAATTTCACAGTAGGAAACAACTACGCTCATCCAATCTTCTTAAATATCTACTAAGCATACAATGCATGTTACAAAAGTATATCCGCATGAAAAGGAAAAAAATCTGCAGCTTTCTGGCCTAGAATTTAATTTGAAAGGAATACATTAGCATCAGACCCAGTGCCTGGTTCTGTTAAACAAAAAGCAGCAAACTTGCGACCAGTTGCAAGATCTGGCAAATATTTACGTTTCTGTTCATCAGTGCCAAAAAGCAAAATCCCTTTGTAACCAATGGACTGCAAATAGATTTAGTGAAATAAAAATAATGTTGCGAAGTGTAAATCACTAAAATCAATTTACTTACTAACTCAATCACTTATCCTATATACAACCATATTTTTTACTCACAGCTATACAACTGTTTCTGCAATGCATAAAAAGATAAAAACTAATACTTTATTAGTAATTCCAAGTGATATGTTATTATTACCTGATGAGCACCCATAACAACAGCCAATGACAAATCGAGTCCACCAACAACTTCGCTCAAACGTGCCATCTGAGAATTACTCAAACCAGCACCTTTGTATTTTTCCGGCACCAACAAACCAAAAGCTCCAATTTCAGCAAATTTTGAAAGATTTTCCATTGGGATCCCTTCATTCTCATCATTTCTACAAAAAAGCAGAATTTTCACACCATAAAATTGTGGGCTAATCTAATCAAACGCATTGAAACTCAATTTAAAGTAGCATTTAAAATTCACTAGAACAACTTTCAGACATATAAATAAAGACTCATAAAATTTAGATAGTCGAGATTTTTAATAATTTTAGTTTGAAATAAATCTCGTAATTACAAATCCATCATGAATATAGAACGATTAAGTCAAGGTGAAACATAGCACGGTGTTATAGTTGGAAAACAACAAAAAATTAAAGACTTAACTTTTCATGCTATTTTCTACAAAACCTTTTAATTTTTATATCAAAAAATTATTCACAGAAACACTAGTTGATCATTTGTGAAGAAATAACATGAAAGAAGTCAACAATTTTTGAAGAAAACCATTATTAACACTTCATGACAAGTTGATCATCATATTTGACTACTTATACAAATTCTGTTAAAACATTAAGAAAAATAATGCTTACTCTGCTGGATTATTCACTTCCAGCATGAATTTCCGAGTTGATTCCAAAATCATATTGACTGTTTCTCGTTCACTATCAGATAAATTTAATGGGTATGGTACTACATGACTGAGCACTCCATTGCCAAGGAATATGTTTTTCACGAACGAAGTTGAAATCTAGGATGGAATAAATTCATGCGAATGCTTCATTTTTCTGCAGTTTTTAGATGTTCTTGAAATGTAATGAAAAATGAGCTCGCTGTTTCATTCGTAGCAGAATCAAAAACTTATCCATTCAATACATCTCAAAAATATCTGTAATTTTACCTTAGGTTTCACAGATGTAAATTCAAGTGTTTTCGAATTACCCGCCACTGATCGCTGCCAGCACCTTAGCACAAATCTATAAACTGAATTCGACTATGATAAAAAACATTAACAATTATATTTGGAAAGTAAGAATAATTTTTAAATGATTTATGTTATTGAAAAGCACGAATAATACAGCATGGATGATGAATAACTGATTCGAATTAAGCCATCTGAAACAATTCAAAGGATAAAATTACCGTGAGTGAAAGGGAAGCAAAGAATATTTTGTACAACGTACAACCATTGCTAAACTGAAAGCTGATAAAATAATTCAAATCAATGAAATATACGTCAATGCTCCTTGAATGATCAAAAAAAAATATAGTCAAAACATATTTGAATTTAAAAAGTGGATAAATATAATGCATTCACGTAAAATTAACACCAAAAATAGTGCTTTAAAACATAAAAAAAAGTTTAAAGCAACAATTTATTATTATTCAATCAAAATATATAAAATGAATCAGTGCAAACATGGATAAGTTTGCGTATGAGATCTTAAGAATTCTTTATAATTAATTACAGAATTTGGCTAAGATAAGCTTCATGTTTAAGCGAAAATTCCAGTGAGAAACGAGCTGTTTCAAAAATTCTTGTTAGTGCTTAGAAGATCTAAAGTCTGATGAGAAAGAATCGTTATATAACTCTTAGACATCCACACTTCAAACCTTCCGTCAAAAATTTCTTCTTCATATGAAATCAAATTTGTCAATTGACTGAACAAGTGGATGTTATTTTCGAATGATAGAGAAGAATGACGTATTTACGTACTTTGGACTTTGCAGATGGTACACCTTCCCTCGCAGTGATGATCGCACTACACTATTTAAATCATTCGATACTCCTGCATTTATTCTTCTGCATCCAAAAATGAAAATTTGACTGCAATAATTGCAAACTTATTGCATCACTGAGTGAAATGAAAACAATTCATAGAATGGATGTCTAACAGTTATATAAAACACAAGTCAGTACCTATTAACTAACGCCCATAGTCATCCATTATAAACCTTGAATACCACTCGCGACTTTAAAATGTAATTTATTCACCTAATTGCAAGTCTGCTTCTCCTTAAATCCAAACACAGTTAAACAAAAAAGTTTTTGACACAGTGTCTTCAAATTAACAGTTTATCAGCTACATACAGACCAATTCATTCCTAAAAATTAAACTATAGTTATTTTGCCGCATCAGTTCGAACTGCACAAGGAACTACACAGCTTTGACAGCTTTCATTTTCAAACATAATCAACTTATTTCAATAAAAAATTTACAAATTAGTTAATCATCAAAATAAAACGAACTGTCAACATGCATAAAATACAGCAATAAAAAAGCATTAAATATACTCTTTAAAAACAATATTCGATTGGAATTACATTTCTACATTTCACTGTTTTCATACTGTTGATCAGAGATAATGAAGCCCGAGGCAATTCAATATAGCAAAAATAAAAATAAAGAACTAAAATGTAATTCCTATCCAAAGACAATATAAACAAACAATATAATAACTTCTATTACAGAAGTGAAAATTCATACAGCACATCGGATATTCTCATGATTCTACAAAGCTGATCAAGCCAAAGAATTTATACGACTCCTGTCCCTTCAGTTTAATGAAAAATAAATCGTCACCTTATTCTAAGTTCAGTGGAAAACAACTACAGAAAGCATAAGGCTTAGTCGGAAATGAAATATAGATTCAATTTAAAAAGACCAAACAGCAAGAAAAACCATACATTCCCATTTTTGTAAAAAGTGAGCTAGCAATCACATCGGCGCTAATTTTAAGACATAACAAAAATTATTTTGATATTACACGCAAAATTAAAAATTAACAAAAATTATGAATAGTACATGAAACAAAATATAATTTGAATATTGGTGCAATTCACTTCCCGATTCAAATTCCTCCATTTAAGCGAGCTCTTTTTGCTATTGGTTCTGCTATCGGACCTAAAGCATAAACAAAAATTATACACAATGTGCAAATTTTCCAGTATCGATAGACCTTGTTACAATCGGAAGAATAATAGAACTATTTAAGAATGGTGGAAAAGTGTTATCCCGTTCTACACACTTTTTCCAAAAAAGAAAAACGTAAAGGAATAATACTAGATATTAGACTTTATTTAGGAAGCAAATTCATTTACTAAAAGTGCAGATATTTCGTTAAAAAACCATACTTTGATTAGAACTTAATGAGCGAGAATCAATACTCGATATAGCGGCAACAATTTCAGTAATCAGTGTCGGATGTTCTTTCACTAATTCTGTCCAACCATCCGTCTGAATGAAAATAATTTGATGAGTTCCTTTAAAGACAATCGTATCTTCAAGAAATCTAGAACATAAAGCATACCAGATTCAAAAAATGCCAATAAATGAAACCGTACTGAAATAACGGCTGACGAATTCTGTGCAATAAATTTAATAGCATCTGCCTTCAACTCACGTGCATTGTGCATATCAGCAAATACCAAATAACGGCACGCAGAATCTACTACTATTCCAGTACGAAGAACCTTAGAACACATGATGATAATTATTCGATTAGATAAGGACAAAATTACATTACTTACGATTCTTTTGTTCTTTTCAAAGCACTAAAGGTTAAATATCTTCAACCAATGAACATAAAATTCAGAAAGCAAGGCATATTACACTTTTTTTACCGATCAAAAACTGGGGTTTCTGACAATAAAGTAAACATCCTAAATAAAAGTTTTGACAGTTACCAAACACATTTTCGTTTAAAAATGACGCATTAAAAGGTTATACAAACAATAATAGTTTTACTAGAAAATTTACAAACGAACTTGGTCAGCCATTTCCTTTAAACCAGGTAGTTGAAAACGATCTGCTGCAGCTAAAAGATCTAGAGCCATGCTAGATAAATTAGGAGATCGACCTGTGTACATATAAAGAAGCAGCTCTTGCATTACCTGCAAATATAAATATGTCAAAAATTGCACAAAACTAAAATAAATTAATAATGATAAGTATTATTGGATACATGCGGAATTCGTAACTATTTTGTGTAGTTAATTAAATTTGACTGGAAACTTCGTCCTGCTTTAAATTCTTGAAATTAAGAAAGAGATGTAGTAAAAAATTCAAAAAAATAAATACGCAGTAATAAATAGAAATTAACATCACAATTTCCGTTTGAAAATAGACAAGATTACTACATAAATCAAAGCTTGGTAAATTGGTTTCCTTTTCTAAAACAAAATAATATCTGCTGCGAAAAGCAGCGAAAATAAAATATGAAAATTTCCATACCTCGAAATCGATGTCTGATAAAACAACACGACTATTTTTATATTCTTCCGTGTGCGGTTCTAACATAGCTGCAAAAACAGGGGAGCGAGCAGAGAGTATTATTTGGTGAGCTGATAGTTCCCGGCCACTTGCAACAACTGTAAAATCAGCAAGACGTCCTTCTTTATAAATTGCTTCCAAATCTCGAGCGATCTATGAAAAAATTGATTAATACTTTAGTTACATGATAAATATTGCAAATAACAAATTACAAAATTATTCTGATCTATCATTGTACTTACACTAACCCTCAACATATAATCCTCAAAACACCACTCTTTAAATCAAAAAATAAATTACCTCTGCAGGGCGCGCTTCCGGAACACAGCTTTGCCGCGGGTTTTGACTACTTTTAGTAACGGTGTCAAATGTAATAGTAAGACACAAAACTAGTTGGAGCTCATCTTGGGGTTGTATGTGACTGACTAAAATATCTCGACGTATGTACTCAAAATATCCATGCAACTAAAAATAAATCAGTAAAAGATTACGTAAAATAAAAACTTTATTGATGACATCTGTTAATGGCGAAAAATAAAAACCATAAAATTGGTGACTTCAGGGGCATATTAATTGTTTACAACAAAAACAAAGTCAGAAAAGTTGCTCAAAACTAATACGCACACTCATAAACTATGGTAAATATGCGAAAGAGATTAATAAACATAGCAACCTACACAAGCAGAAACAAATGCACCTGTTGTGTCCCTGTGTAAACTGTGGTAGGTGCTTCTTCATTTTTTGCATTATAAACCGAAAATTTAGCGCGATATTTCGCTGAATTCGTGTTGCAAAAAACCTAGAAAATTTTTATGATCAGATTAATTGTGATTAATAGACAAAAATTTCCAAACCAGAACTAACTTGGAAAAAGCTAAAATCTTTGTTGGATTCCTTGTTGCCTTGTGGATGTAACCTTATTCGGAAAGTCAAATGGTTACCATCCAACGTGCTTGTTGGAATTGGCTGCAACTGATTTAATGCATTATGTTCCCAGAAAAACTTGAAATAATTAGCAATTTTACGGCATAGTCAGTTTTTTTCTCTGTCCACTCATAAAATACTAAAATGAGTTCTCGACAGCTGTTTCTCAGAACGCTGACCGTTTCCTTGATTTTAACCGATGTTTCGAGATAACGACACTCGCATTGTGAAAAACCACGTATAGTCCAAACATGAGAATGTTGCAGTGAGCGTACTTCCGTTGTTGACCAGCTATCTGATGAACGAAGTGAGCTCACGAAATCTGTCATACCCCGGCCACTAGAGCCTTCTAAACAGTAAATTGTTAGGCAATTAATTTGATATTTGCACATCTTATACTACCAAAACCAAAAATGTGATCAAATGGTTATCTATCAAACTACTACTATCTGCTATCCAACTGGTCCTTTAATTACTTTCATTTGAATGGAACAGTAATAAAACAAAGCTCGAGTAAGCTGATACAACAGTATGGTTGAGAAATTAAATATTATCAACAAAAAGCAATAAATAGTAACGAAATACCACTGGTATTGTTATGATCTAATGAAATCAGGTGAAGAGTAAAAAAATTAAAAGAATGCTACAAAACAAAAAACCTATGTCAAAGAGAATAAAACTGAGGTCCGAAGCCTTTAATTTGCTGTTTACATACTCACAGAATTTATAAGGGAATAAAAATAAAACTTATCCAAAACTCATAACTTCGTAGGCACAAAATGACTGCTTAAGAGACTGTGGACGGTGACAGTAATTCTTTAAAAAAAATTAATAACAAAAAATAACCTTCCTCACCACCAATACTGAAATCTACTTCTTCGCCCGACGTCTTGACTAACTTCTAAAAAATAAAAAATGCTCAAAATAGTACAATATTTTAGTCAATTTGTGCACGCTGCAACATGAGGAAAATAAAATTACAGAACGAAGAAACGCTTCCAAAAAATTTTTAAGGATATGAGGGCCAAAATTAAAAACCTAATTTACTTCGCATACACAGAACCTATCACAATCAAACATAATAGATATTTGAATTATAAATTAAATACTTTTTTCTCGTAAAGATATTAATTCTTGAGCATACTACTAGCTTACACAATAAGAAATAAATGTCAGTGGATAAACAAAGTGTAAATAATTATAGATATATAAATGTGAATACATATAATACTCTTGTGTTCTAAAGCATGAAAACTCTTGATAAGAAATTTACCACGAATTGAAAAAACAATAAATAAAGTTTAATAACCTGATAATTAAACGCGTCTCCAGAAACAACCATTTCTTCAAATAATAGATGAAATAAAAACAGGGAAAAAAACCCAACGATCACAAAGAGATGCAATTCACACCAAGATAGTACTATGCGACTACCATTGAAATACTTATAACTCTCTATGCAACAATTGACGACCAGCGGGAAAACCATCTGTTACAATTGAGTGTAACATTTACAGTAGATATATTAAACGATACAGTGAATCTATTAAGAATGCATAATTTGAAGTATCACAGCAGTAAAAATATTGTTTGTTTTCAAAGTAAAAAAATTTTAGTTTTTAGATTTGTAAGTTTTTATCTTTTGAATTATAATGAATGCTAAATAAATGTAATGATAAAAATTCTCATATAAAATGTGATAAATAAGCTCACTTCTTTGTTCGGTGCAACGAAGCCCACCTCAAAGCTCATCCCCTGGCATGTACAGTCTTTCCAAACATGCAGGTTGGAAGTAAATTCCGTATTTGATTAGTAACTGTCTGATATCGTGGTCTATAGCCTT